CTTCGTCAGGATAGCTCATGTCGAGCTCGATCCATTGGCTCGAGTCGCCAAATAGCAGTCGATTCGAAGACCTTGATGATATGGATTCTGATCAGCCCTCGGAGTCTCGCCTCGATCATACCAAAATATTGTTTTGGAGATGGTCGATACAATCGAGGTCCGAATGCGATACATGGAACATCCATTATATCAATTGTCTGTCATTCAATGGTATAACCAAGGTTTTACTGGGACACTTATAGGGTACTTGGTTTCGCTTGTGTTTTCGAGCCTCCGGACTGACGATGAGCTCCAGGTGTGTTGGATGATCATCGTCGGAGGCGAGCTCTGAGAACGGGAAGAGGCTCAGACAGCAATATTCATCAATAATTCCATCGTCGACCAATCGCAAATGCCTGGAGGTCGAGGCCCGCCCGCTCCATCGAGGTCCATGGCTGTAACGGACTCAAGATCTTGACATGGACAGCATTGAACACGCGTGTGTTAAGCCTGACAGGCGGTCACAAACTGATAGCGCTTTATTCTGAGGAGGCTGATATTCGACGGAGAGATTCCGTGCGATAAGGAATTGCATGCGCACGGTATTAATTTATGAGAATTACTTTATCACATCCTTACTGAAAGCCGTTGTTACCCGCCTTTCTTCTTTGCTGCGATCCTCGCAGAGCGCCGTATCTCCATCGACGGCGGTCCGGTATCTCCTCTTGTCATACTGCAGGAGGGTTCGGAGGGCGGCTTGCATCCTTTGGCGTATGCGAGTCGTTCGCTGACGGTTGCCCAGCAGAACTATGCGCAAATTGAAAAAGAGATGCTTGCGATTGTCTTCGGATGCTCGAAGTTTCATTACTACGTTTTTGGGCAGAAGCAACTACTAGTTCAGAGCGATCACAAACCCTTGGAGATGATTATGAAAAAACCTCTCCATCAGGTACCGCTCAGGCTCCAACGCATGCATCTCACCCTGCAAAGGTACGACATAAAGGTTCAATATGTCCCGGGTAGAGAGCTACTGATTGCCGACTGTTTGTCAAGGAATCCGTCGGCGGACGAAATGGAAGAAGACCCAAGAATCGCAGCCCTGCATTCGTTGCCTGTGGCCGACCACCGACTTCCAGACTATGTCTCGGCTACGCAAGATGACCGGCAGCTGAAGATATTGATGCAGACGTGCCTCGACGGTTGGCCAGGAGACAAGAAACAGGTTCCCCAGATCGTGAGAGAATACTGGCCTTATCGGGATGAGATGCATGTTGAAAACGGACTGGTTATGCGTTCCAACAGAATTGTCATCCCTGCAGCACTCCGCAGTGAAGTGCTTAGACAGCTCCATCAACCCCACACAGGGGTTAACAAAATGAGGCTCCGCGCGAGAACAGCGGTGTATTGGCCGGCCATTGACGCCGACATCGAGGCTACCGTTGCTAAATGCCAACTATGTCAGCGGGACAGACCAGCGAATCCGCGAGAGCCCATGTGCTCGACAGCTACTCCGCCGCGGCCGTGGTACACAGTGTACATGGACCTTTTCGAATATGAAGGCGATCATTTCCTGATTGTGGTCGATGCTTACAGCTTCTACTGGGATATGACACGACTCACTACGACCACAATGAAGGGAATCGCTACGGCCTCATTTGCCATCTTCTCGCATTTCGGCCTTCCCGTCGAACTAAGGTCAGACAATGGCCCGCAGTTTGTGGGCTCCTGGTTTCGCGATCTCCTGAATCGCTACGGCATCAAGCAGACTACCAGCTCTCCGTACTATCCGCGCGGTAACTCATTAGCAGAGAGGGCTGTGCAAGAAGCGAAAAAGATGCTCAAAAAATTCACTTACAACTCCCCCGAGTATTTCACGGCCATGCTCGAATTGAGAAATGTGCCCCGAAATCACCTCCTAGGCTCCCCAAGCCAGCGACTCATGGGCAGAGAGGCCCGAAGTACAGTGCCCGTTCCTCCAGGCAATCTACGCCCCCACACCATCCCGCCAGAAACGGTTATCGAAGGTCTCGATGAAGAGAAACGGCGGAGCAAGTTCTATTACGACCGGGGCACGAAGCCGCAACGGGACATGAGTCCCGGGCAATCGATTCGGATCCTCAATCCCCAGGAGAACATCTGGAAGAGGGGAACCGTAGTACAGGTACTCCCCTATCCTCGTTCATACCTGGACGAAGAGTCAGGTGTTGTGGCACGGCGGAACCGCCAAGTCTTACGAGAGGACCGTTCTGCGGGCCCGAAAGAACAAGAGGAGATACAAGTAACGACAAATGAAACAGGACCTCCCGGACCGCCGTCGATGGAGATACGGCGCTCTTTTTCAAGAGCCAATGGAATCCGACGGCACGGATTGATACATGGCTGGTATCCCGGCCTGAGACGAATAGAGCACTCGTAGTCCTTTAAGCACCCAATTCCACTGAACGCCGCTGGGAAAAGTTTCTTGAAACGTTCCAGTTCGGCATCCGATTTTTGTACACTTGCCACCCTGATCACGAGCCCCAAAGCTTCTGCAGCGTCGCCGCGCAGGGTTGGAGCGACTTCCTCGTTCACTATGAAGAATTTCTCACGAATTGTTGTTTCTCCAAATTTCACCGTGAGTAACGCTGCAGCTTGGGAGCAGTACTTGTCGCCAAAATACGACACCAGATGGGTATTGTGTGTCAGGAGCTCCACGGGGTCAGCAGCAACTCTTTTGAGGTGCTGCAGGAGTTTCATCGGGAGAACGGAGACATCAGCGCCTGTGTCCTATTTGCACGGGACCAATTGTCCGTTCACTTTGACCACTTCATCCCATTTTTTTTTCGGCTGCTCGTTCGCGAAGGCTTTTACCTGACATAGCCTGAAGTCCTCGTCATCTGACGCCTGTTGTAAGCTCCATACTTTATTCGTCGCTGGCTGATGGTGCCTTTGCCGGTCCGCTGGACGGAAAGGTTTTCTCGATTCTACCCTGCTGGGCTGAGCTTTGTCCTGGGGGGTTCTGCAAAGTCTTGCATAGTGTCCTCGTTTTCCACAACGACTGCAGAACCTGCTTCTTGCCGAACACGATCCGTTGGCATGAACATATCCACAGGCAGTGCATCCCTGACGTCCGACTGCGGCAACGTTGTAAGCGTTCGATTCGTTATCGCCTTGTTGATAAACATCTTCTCGTTCGTCAGGGTGCTGCGCGCCAATCGTCGCGATGGTCTCGGTCGATCTCTGTGCTTTGTTGATCTCCAGCGCATTCTGCTCTCCGATCTCGAAGCTTCTACACTTTGCCACGACCTCGCTGAGGGAGAGGTCCTTGGCGAGGAGGATTTTTTGCAGAGTCTTGTCTCGAAGCCCGATGATTAGGCGGGATTGTACCAACCTATCATTCAAGTCTCCGAATTTGCATAAACGGCTTTTCGCCCGCACTCGCTCATAGTATACGTCGAACGTTTCACTCTTTTTTTGGTCCAGATCGCGACTGAAAAACTTATAGTCGCGTAACGCCTGAGTTACTGTAGCCGTGCACTTGAGCTCTATCTCGCTTATGATATTTTTCATCGTGATGCGCTGGTAGTCGATCTGGACTGTTTCCATCCAGGTTCTTGCCGTTTCACCCAAGCACATCAGAAGAACCGCTCGTTGATAGTTTTCTGGCCTACTCGATAGGTCACTGATGGTTTCATATATCTCGAAATCCGTTTTGAATTTTCTCCATGATTCTATCAAATCGTCGCCGGTCGTATCGAATCCACGCGGGGGTGCAGCGAGAAGGTAACCACCTTGCGCTGCTGGGGTTTGGAGCGCGGTGACCAGGTTTGGTTGGCTCCTCGCTAGGCCCGCGGCCTGCTGATGCCCCACTTCCGTTTCTTGGGCATTGCTCGCCGTACCGTTGTCCGGTGGTTGCACTGTTTTCACAGGGGAGTTCCCGACTATAGGCATGACTCGTTTTTCTCTCCGGGCGCTGTTCGCGATTCTGACACCATGTAACGGACTCAAGATCTTGACATGGACAGTATTGAACACGCGTGTGTTAAGCCTGACAGGCGGTCACAAACTGATAGCGCTTTATTCTGAGGAGGCTGATATTCGACGGAGAGATTCCGTGCGATAAGGAATTGCATGCGCACGGTATTAATTTATGAGAATTACTTCATCACAATGGCATCTTCCCTTGTGTCGACTTGAGAATTCCCCATACTTCCTCGGCTTCGTGTCCACCAGTAGCTTGGGATCGGAAGTTTCCCCGATTATCTCCGACCGTCATCTTGCCACCGAAGCTACGCATGGATCGCCGAGGTCAGCTTTGCAAAACCGCTAAGCTAAGCTCCATCTGACTTCCGCCACGTAGAAAAGCTGATTACCTCCATTTAAGTCACCAGGAAGGATTTCAAATATAGAGGACTTACGGAAAGCAGGGCTAGACTGCCTACCGAGCGAGATAGCATGCACTGGCAGCATTCATCGTAAGTTTCGAAGGTCGCGGAGCGGATTTGCACTCGTTCCAGTCGTGAGTAGCGCATAGAGGGTGAGACATCTTGAGCCCTCTGATTCCAGAAGCCTCTTGGAGCGGAATCAGGAGGGTATGAAAGTTCTGCTCGCGTCGAGAAGACCGAAGTCAACTGCGATTTCCCCCGAATGTTATCCCGTCTCGATGATTCGGAGCTGGGACTAGATATTGGGAGCATTGGGAAAAGATGCATACAATTTCTCAATCGAGGTGTTCAGCGGAAGATCAAGCTGTTTCGAGGGTGAGTCGTCTGGCCCGAAAACTCTCGGGGTCCCTCCTGTTTTAGCGTAGAACTACGCTATAGCCCCCAGTGACGGGTAAACACTGCCATGGGGAGTATTGGGGAGGCGAAGCTCGAAAAAATTCCCATCTCGGAAATAACATGCGTCTGAGTGGCCTGTGTAAAAATTTCTTCGAGCTGATATTCCAGAAACAGAGCGCTCGATCATCGAAATGGTCATGGTCGAATATGTCAGGCTTAGGATGAGGCATCGTTCATGCTCTTCAATTCCCCCTTATCTTGATCATTCAATAAGATGCAGGCCAAATAGTAAGCTCGTTTTCATAGAACGTCGGAACGGGGACGCGGAGGCTGAAAACACTGAAGGCAAGAAACCCCTAGTTTACGCTGATGAGACGTAATCGAGCGTTGTGGAAAAGCTATGTCTATCGATATAGCTATGAATTCCCTCTTTCGGTGGTAAGCACATGATCTTATTGGAAGGAGAATTTTCTCTTCCTCAGGGATGGGTCCATTCAATCAGGAAAGCCTCGGTCTCTGCTGACTGAATCGAATAAAGTTTTGCTCAACTCTCCCTCGACCATGGGCCAATGTTGAAGACAGCCAACACCTCGGTAGAGGCTAAATTTATAATGACTGCGGAAAACGATGTGCCTGTGCTCTCCATATCTCCTCTTCTGGTGCTCCCGTTCTCGTCATTCATTCTAACCTTGGCTACCACATCCATGCGATTCCTTTGTGGTCGATGTGAATGCTCGTGCCACGATAATGATTCCATGTTTCATGGACATTTCAGAGCGGATGTCCGAGTACTCCATTTATTGAAAACGCGTAGTTCTACGCCCACATACCGCCTGAGTCACCGACTCGGACACCCCGGTAATTCTTTTTTCAGTGGCCGATGGGTATATACGGGGCTGCCATGTCTGGAAGATCCAATGCAGAATGTCTCAGACCCACCGTTCAAGGAAACCAGAAGAAACCACTTCATAGTCCCAAAAAGACCGTACTCCATGCCATGGGTTCGTTCCGGGTCTGGGGACCCATTTTTCGGAGAAAATGGCATCACGTCTACAGTGAAAACCGATTTCTGCCGTGGAGTCCTTCCATGTAAACCTTCCTCTTCCAGAATCATGACGGCTCAGTTTCTCGTTTTTTTTTAGACTTCTCGACCAGCACAGCGAACCTGGATCGGTTTCTCCTCCTGACTTCCACGAATGACGGAATGATCCCTCCTCTCCAGCTCTGAAAACGTCGACATATGCCCATTTTCACCGGGATCCCTATAATCCCGAAAGTTGAGGTTTTTTCATATGACGGTCTCCCCGCGATCTTTCGTTCGGAATTAGATGAGGGACATGCACTGAGCATCATCCGGGCGCTCTCAATCCGATTACATCGAGGAGGAATTTCAAGTTCGCGTCTGAAATAGAATCTGATCTTCTTGTACCGATCTAGAGCGCCCTTGCCAAAGTTTCTAAAAGAAATTCTGTCACATTAGAGGATGTCCTCATTCTGCAGCAAGCATTTTCTGAAGCCTACAATCCTAGCGACTCGCTTCCCGAGAAATTCTTCCCGTCATCAGTCGTGGGTCACGGACACGAGCGTCGTCGTCGGTGCTCTCTTCAGCAGGTCTGCTGTGGGGAAATCCGTACGCAGGGTTTGATGATGACGAGGAAGAGTTCTGAGAAATATGCGGCAAAGGTACGGGGGAAGTAAATGAGCAGTCATCATTCGATTGATCAGACACCCTGGGCGCGCAGTCGAGAAGCTACAGCTTTGCTGGTGAATCACGCGGATCGATCGGAAGAAGGCAGTGCCACAAACCAGAGAGCATGTCAGAGGGAAAACGAAGATCCTATCTGCAGAGAGCATACGGGTTCTGTACCGCCGAGCCGAGAACCGGGAAGCGTCGCGAAAAGCGAGCTCAGCCGCGGACCGTTACAGGCACATTCAGGCTCATGAAAATATGAAGATTTTATACAGAGGAAAACGCAAAACCTTCGCTTCGGATGATCAACGACGCGGTCCTCAATGAAGTTGTCACGGAATCAGCAGAATCCGCGATGCTGACGTATGGCGCAGGGCACCTAACAGACTCGAAAACGATCGCAAAGGAGTCTGGAAGGCGTTCCCAAGGCGACGACGCCGCGGCATCGGCGGAGGTCGGCGGACCCCGATGCCATCTCCTTATGAAATGATACACGGTTCAAAACCAAAATCACGCATCTCCATCCGTTTGGTTCTCGTTGCTACTCATACAATCAGCGAAAACCGAGAGGAAAATGGTCCCCCAGAGAACTCGGAGGAATACTAGTCGGATACACCGAAAGAATAGACGGCTGCAGAATTTATGAACCTGAAACACGCAAACTTCGTGTAACAAAAAAACGTCGCATTCATAGAGGGGAAGAAAAATGAAGTCGCGCACGACTCCACCAAAGGAACTGATGATTAGGCCAACCAATTGAAAGACGCGCAAAAATCCATGGTTTGCGATAATGAAGAGGACATTGTCGAAGAGCCGCCAAAAAGCGAGCCTATAAACGTGTCCGATGATGACACAGAGGTAGATCGAGCAGAAAGCTCTCCCTCATCCCCCCCAGCGGAGCATATGACCTTGAGACGACGTACACATATCAAAAAACCAAAACGGTATGATATTCAGCTCAAGGAAGCCGAACTTGACGAACCGAAGACTTACAAACCAGCGATGTCCTCACCATACGCCAAACAATGGCAACAAGCAATGCAGGACGAAATCAACTCAATAAAATCTCACGGTGTTTGGTTCCTGGGAGACCCACCTAATGATAGAAAACCTATCACCTGTCGATGGGTATTTCGAGTAAAATCCAACGCTGAAAACAAGCTTGACAGATTCAAAAGTCGGCTCGTCGCGCGCGGATTTCATCAGGTAGCGGGGATCGACTTCAATGAAACCTATGCAAGCGTGGCTCGATTCGATACCTCACGAGTATTCCTGGCCATCAGCGCCGCTAAAGGTATGGAACCGAAACGACAGACGAGGCCGAAGCGACAGACCCCAATCGGGCGCTCGTTCGACGAACGAACGATCTCGGTCTCGATCAAGGTCCCGCGCCGCAATCTGGAGGAAACAAAGAGGAGCGAAGAACCAGGGCCGCGGTCGTCCTCAGGATCGGGATACACCGAGGAGGGGACACGACCGCTCGAGGAGCCCTCAAGAATACCGCCCTCGAGAACCATCACAGCAAAACGAGAGGCGGAAACCAACACAACAACGACCGCCACCACCCGCAGAATACAAGGTGATGACAAGCCGATATAGGCGATCGCCTTCGTATGAGGACAGGGGAGGAAATCGTGTTTGAGAAGAAATCCAGTCGTCCCAGAAAGCGTCGGACTAGGCGTGATATCACGCAAAAACAGTCCACAA